GGGTTTAAGGTTTTGGGGCTTTAGGGTTTAGGGTTTAGGGTTTGGGATTTAGGGTTTAGGGGTTTTGGGGCTTTAGGGTGTAGGGGTGTAGGGTTTAGGGTCTGGGATTTTAGGGTTTAGGGGTTTAGGGTTTTGTGGCTTTAGGGTTTGAGGTTTAGGGGTTACGGGTTTAGGGTTTAGGGGTTTAGGGGTTTTGGGGTTTTAGGGTGTAGGGGTGTAGGGTTTAGGGTTTGGGATTTTAGGGTTTAGGGTTTTGGGGCTCTAGGGTGTAGGGGTGTAGGGTTTAGGGTTTGGGATTTTAGGGTTTAGGGGTTTCGGGTTTAGGATTTAGGGTTTAGGGTTTAGGGTTTACCTATAGTCTCCATTGTAGATCCTTCTTTTGGTTTAACCAATTATAGATTAAGGAAGTTACAAGGTATCCCCAAAAAGGAACTACAATGGAGTCTGTGGGTAGGTCCATGCAAATGGTTTAAACCTCACATCATAAGGAAGCTTAGGACCCTTAGGGGGGTAGGGGGGGCGGGTGTAGGGGGCTATTACGACATGATAAGGCCGATAATTGGAAGTATAGTCCCCGTTACCCCCCCAAGGTTCCTTATGCTCACACCCATGACTCCCATGACACCCTAAACCCTCAACCCTACACCCCTAAACCCTAGACCCCAAACCCCTACTAAACCCTAAACCCTAAACCCCTGAAGCTAAACCCTAAACCCCTAAACCCTAGACCCCAAACCCCTACTAAACCCTAAACCCTAAACCCCTGAACCCCACTATACCCTAAACCCTAAACCCCTAAACCCTAGACCCCAAACCCCTACTAAACCCTAAACCGCTAAACCCCACTATACCCTAAACCCTAAACCCCTAAACCCCACTATACCCTAAACCCTAAACCGTCATGAAGGAACCCCAAATGGGTAGTTCTCTAAATTAGGGTCCCTTTTTAGGTCCCCAATATAGTACGGCACCCGTATAAAAAGGACCCTAAGAGGGGACCCTAATTTACAGAACTACCCAAATCGTCCCTGTGGCAGGAGCAGGAGGATGGTCTCATGGGAGGCAAGGGGCTCAGATGGCGTTTAGGGTTTAGGGGCTAAAGGGTTTTAGGGATATAGGAGGGGTTGAGGGTTTAGGGGCTTAAGGGTTTTAGGGATTTAGGGCTTAGGGGTTTAGGGTTTAGGGGTTTAAGGATTTAGGGGTTAGGGGTTAGGGGTTCAGGGTTTAGGGATTTAGGGTTTAGGGTTTTAGTACGGGTTTAGGGTTTAGGGTTTCGGGTAAGACCTTCCAAAATCCCTGAGTTAAGGAATAGCCGTTAGCATGTAGTAGGATAGCGAAATAGATGATTGAAGGTCACGTCCTTAATCAAGGACTTGAGTTAAAGAGTTGCAGGAGATCTAAACATGATTCAAGGTATGCATACTTGAACATACAGTAGGATACCTGATCATGATTCAAGGTATATTCCTTAACCCTCAGGGTCCATGTGCCCAACTAGTATATACTTTGGCCCCAAGGTAGTCCCTATATAGGTGCCGAAGTATGTAGTATGTGGGCACATGGAGCCTTACGGTAATATGCTTGGAGGTGCATGGGTCGTTATAAGTGGAGTTACAAGTCCCCTGACATGGATTAGAATTACAGTTACCCTGCTTATAAACCATTTATAACTACCCTTAAACCCTAAACCCTAAACCCTAAACCCTAAACCCTAAACCCTAAACCCTAAACCCTAAACCCTAAACCCTAAACCCTTTGTAACTACCTGAGAACCTCCAAGTAGGATCCTCTAAACCCCTAAACCCCTGCACCTTCAGATGGGTGATTGTCAAAATTATGGTCCCTTTTTGGGTCCTTATTATAATACGGCACCTATTATTTAGGGTACCCCAAAAGGGACCATAATTTTGACAACCACCCAGATGGACCCCGAAACCCTGAACCCGAAACCCATAGCTACTGGACCCTTAGGGTAATATGGATTCGAACTATAGTTACCCTGCTTCTAACCCTAAACCCTAAACTCACCTAAACCCTAAACCCACCTAAACCCTAAACCCTGAAGCCTAAACCCAAAGAGCCCCACTTATAACTACTTGGACCCTTACGTGGAGGTTCATGGGTAGTTATAAGTGGAGTTGTAAGTAAGGTAGCTGTACTTATAACCCATCTTAGGGGACTTATAACTCCACTTATAACTACCCATGAACCCTAAACCCTAAACCCTATAGAACCCTTTAAAGGGACCCTTAAAGGAACCCCATAACTCCTCTTATAACTACCCATGAACCTCCGAGGGTAACTGAGGGATTTGGAAGGTCCGTGGTGTCGGTCCCGTGCAGCAGAGGGTTTAGGGTTTTTAGGGTTTAGGGTTTAGGGTTTAGGGTTTAGGGTTTAGGTTTAGGGTTTCGGGTTTTTGGGGTTTAGGGTTTAGGGTTTAGGGTTTGAGAAGGACCCTCCTTGTACCCTGAAATAGGGGTAGATGGTCCCCCAAATTAAAGGGTGTTCAGGGTCGCTTAGAGGGTAGATGAGGGTCTAGGAAGAAGGCTGGGTTTCAGGTTTGAGGTTTTTTGTTTGTTTTTTTTGCGTCTGCGGGCCTTTTTGGGGTTTACGTGTTTATGGGTTTGGGGTCTAGTGCTGTCTGGTTTTAGCGTTTCGAGGGTTTGAGGGTTTTGGGTTGCAAGAGCATGGCTTTAGAGAAAGAGAGCCGAGTTTCGCAAGGTTGTATGGTGTGTTCGATCAAATGTTTAGTGTTGTTACACCGTGTTGTTTGAGATTCGCGATACCGTAAGTATAGTGTAAGGTTGAATATCCAGGCATGCATTTTAAGTTCTGGGCTTTTGTGTGCTGCTCTGGCTTCACGTTTTCGACGACTGTATACCTGCCTGGTGTGACTGTTAGAGGGCTGGCGTTTGTTTCTTCGGCAGACGCAGTGGGTCATAAACCACATGCTGTTTATTTGCTCCATGGTCCCTCTTAGGAGATCCACACAGAGACCCAAATTCAGAGACCCTAAACCCTAAACCCTAAACCCTAAACCCTAAACCCCGTATCTCATTGAGGGGGGTCCAATGGGAAGAGTCGGGCCGAGGTTTGGCCAGCGGCGAGATTGACTTCATTGTCAAGGCACCGACTCTAGGACATTTCCAGGTGGGTAGTTACCGGTAGTTTTGGTTTTTGGGGTCTAGGGTTTAGGGGTTAGGGGTTTAGGGTTGTGGGTTTTGGGGTATCGGTAGTTTAGTCTAGGACATTTTCAGGTGGGTAGGGTTTAGGGTTTAGGGCCTTATGGCTTATGGGGTTTAGGGCTGATGGGGTTTAGGGTTTAGGGTTTACGGTTATGTCTAGGCCATTTTCAGGTGGGTAGTTACCGTTATAGGAGCCTTATAGAAGGTCTATATACCTTATGGAAGGAGCCCTATATACCCTAAACTCCCCATCTGTAGTTTCCTTTAACTGACGGTCTCATCAGACTCGAGCATTCTTTGGAAGTTTCTAGAAGTCGGGATTCTCAACAGGGGTAGTTTTCTATATTAGGGTCCCTTTTAGGGTCCATATTATTATTATTAACGGACATCAGTCGGTCGTTTGCATGAAGCACTCATTGGTGCACGTTTTTAGGGTCCATATTATAAGGGTGCCGTACTATATCGGGGACCCCAAAAGGGACCCTAATTTAGAGAACCACCCATATCAGTAGGACCACAAAGAGCAGGATTCTTCTGGGACGGCCAACGACGGATCCGAGTTTTGAGACATCAACGTGTGTACACATGCTAGCCACCTATAGAGTCTCCATTGTAGTTCCTTTTTTTGGTTTAACCTATTGGATATTAAGGAATTTATAAGGTATCCCCAAAATGGAACTACAATGGAGACTATAGGTATGATTGCAAATAGAATGCACTGTCGGGAGCACCATCATCTAGGACTCTCGCCAGCATGTGGCCTGAACAGTATCATCATCGTTAGAAGTATCGCAGCGGGCAACATCATGACAGTCAGTTGTTCTTCATAACTGTAGTGACAGTCACACGACGGTTTAGTGATTTGGACAGCGCAGGCAAGTTCGTGCACACATGTCAGAAGTCGTGATCTACGGGCTTGTGCCATGTGTTGCTGAGTTTGTCTTTGCCTCCTTAAGGTCACAAGCTTTCAACGACTGCTACCCTAGACCCTAAACCCTAAA